CCTTCCTATATTATATGACTTTTTCCATACATTGTACTACACATACACACATACACAAACACACCACACACACACACACACACACACACACACACGTGTGTGTGTGAGTGATGTCTGAACAGGATCAAAATGGAGCTAAGGGAAGAATAAAGATCACCAGGAGTTTGGCTTCTTTGCTCTTCCGTGACCTTTGGTGGTCTCTGGATGGATGCACAGGTGACTCTTAACTTCATGCCTGTGGGTTGGCCATGGGTGAGCATATAATTGCATGCACAGTGTGTAGTTAGTATTAATTAGGCAGAGACATTCTTGGCATTGTAAGTTTATGCTGTGTGCATGCATCCTGCCGCTGGATGTTACTAGATGTGCTGGTCAGTGTCTACCCTGCCCCATTCCTTCCCTGCTCAAACTGCTCTACTAGAATCTCATGTTGAAGGATGGAGAAAGCAAGATTAATGTGGTCTTTGCCTAGGGATGGCCAATGACTGGACTATGGTCAATTAATAGCTGTTCCATGGCCCATAGTATGGCCTGGTACCTAGAGTTGAAGGAAGTCAGCTAAATTCCTTTTATTAGGAGTTTGAATTCAATATGGAAAACTTTGACTGGAAACCAATAATGTCAGAGAGTTGCTGTACAAAGATCCACAAACTGCAACCACGCGCTACTCCAGTCTACGGCTGTCTTCCAGTCTCAGTTGCCCAAGGCCCTGTCTTATTATACCTCCTGTTCTTGATCCCAAGGGATTCCATGTCCATTTTTAGATCATGCATTTTCTTACAGGAACTAAGAGTAACTCCTCTTACTTGAACTAGCTAGAGAAAGTCTCTTTTTTGCACCCACAATCACTCTAATCAAAAGAGAAGCCTGACAACTATGTTCACTTTGCATTCAGAAGGGAAGAGCAGCCTGGTGATTGCTGCCCTCGGGGGCAGTGGGATGACTTGGCCTCACTTTAGTGCAACTCCAGCCTGTACCACAGAATTGGGTGCATGAGGCTGAGATTGCTTTTTCAAGAGTGGATTTTTAAAAATTGTTTTATTGTTTTCTTTTTATCTTTCTTTCTTTTTGTGTCAAGACTATTAGGGTATTAAATTGGAGATCTCAAGATATTTCTCAAAGCCTCCTATCTTCTAAAATTGGCTTAGGAGAAAATTTAAAAGAAATAACCTTTAAATTCTCTTTCCAACCAGCCCAGTGACAACCACCGAGCCACCACTGGAAGTGCCCTAGGCCCCTGAGTTGGGCAGTGAGAGGCCAAAGGCCTCAGCCATGCCCCCTGACATCCACAACCAGCCTAGCAATGATCACCAAGCCACTGCTGGAAGCGCCCCAGGCCCCCAAGTTGGGGCAGTAGGGGGCCAAGGGCCTTAGCCACATCCCCCAACATCCAGAACCAGCCCAGCAATGACCACCAAGCTGCTGAAGGAAGCACCCTGGGCTCCCAAGACACTGCAGTGTGGGGGGGCCAAGGGCTTCAGCCACACCCCCCTGACACCTGCATCCAGCCCAGCCATGACTGAGTTGCCACTGGAAGCCCCCTGTTCTCCCCTGCTGGAATGAGTTGGGTGCCACAGGCCTCAATCATGGCCCCTCCTTCCTCCTCTTCCTACTCTATTTCCTTTCCCCTTCTACTTTCCCTCTCTCCATCAACTGCTCCACAACAACATCTTAGAATGAGACATGGAGCTGGGGGAAGCTGGACCCAGCCGCAACTAGGCAAGCTGCTGCCACCACCCAGGGCACCACCAGGGTAATGAGGTATGGAGCTGGGGGAGGCTGAATCCAGCTGCAACCAGGTAAAGAGCACAACAAAAGCACTATTTCCTCGTAGGTAGCCCACCATAGCCATTGCAATTACCAAGGCTGCCGCAAAAGTGGCTAGTCTCTATAGCAGCAGTCACAGCCACTGTGCAGATGGCATGCCAGACTCTCAACTGCATTGAGAAGAACCAGGAGAGACCGAAAAAAAAAAGAAAAAAAAAGATGAGGTCCTCTTTCTTCACAACGCACACTCCAGAGAAAGCATCTGATTTACGATAACAGGGGAGGACTGGATCACACCTGTCTCAGTACTGGACAGATCACCTAGGCAACAAACCAACAGAAGAACAGTTAATCTATCAGACACAAAGAACAAATCTATGGTTATCAGAGGGGGGAGGGGAGGGGAAAGGGGAACAGAGAGAGGTGGAAAAATGATAAGGGGCATAAAGAATAAGTATGATTTGTAACAATGAATGTGATAATAAATAATTTTTTAAATAAATTAATTTTAAAAAATAAATAAATTCTCTTTAATGACAGCTTTGTTTTTCAGATCCAGAGACAGCAGAATCTATACTGAATCTAAACCTTCAAAATAGGGAAGGACAAAGATGTCTGGAAGATGTCACACTGACCTCCCTCTTTTCTTTAAAGAAACGTTTCTTCCCAAAAGCCTTTCCTAGCAGGCCTGAGAAAGAGAAAAGCAACCCCTGGCAGCAGGTAACTGGTCCGGCACCATCATCATCCAGGCCTTGGCATTCTCCTCTTGAATATAAAATTTCACAGAACATTATCAGGCAAGGCCACTCGGTGATGTGATGGACCAAGACACAAACAGGACTGCCCCATAATAATGCCTGAGCACAGTCAAAACATGAATACTGTACAAACCACAAAAATGACCAAACATTCCCCTGTCTAAATTAGATTTATCAAGACACCAGTCATAAAAGTAACCCTGCTTCCTGGTAGCATCCAATCTAGAAAAGGCTTCCCTTTCTTAATTACCTCATTCAAGCACAAACCCTTCCTTATAAGTCATTTCTAAAAATTTTTAACCTTTTTAGCACCTTTTTACTGAAATGCCTCGTGATTCCCCACGGAGTTCATCTCTCCCTAAGAAAGGAATAAACCCAGTGTGTTCAGCTCCCGATGATGTTTGCCTGGACTGTTTTGAGAGGCCTTAGGTATGTCATGTTCCTGTGCCCCACACCTGTGGTTACTTGTCTCAGATCATCAAAGAATAGTTCCCTGGACTAACTTTCTTGGTCCCAGCAATAATTGCCAATGTCTACCATGCACTTACTACCCGCCGGGCACTTCATACAAATTAATTCATTTGATTCCCACAATGACCCTACGAGTAGATAGGCTTAGCACCCAATTTATAGATGAGGAAAGTGTGGTACAAGAGCCACTGCCAATGTCTACCATGCACTTACTACCCGCCGGGCACTTCATACAAATTAATTCATTTGATCCCCACAATGACCCTACGAGTAGATAGGCTTAGCACCCAATTTATAGATGAGGAAAGTGTGGTACAAGAGCCATAACACTATTAAGTGACTGAGCCAGGCGTCCAAGGCAGCAGCCAGCTGGAGGCACTGAGGCTCTGGCCCCCTCCACCTCCACTGCTGTCCCCACCGCCTTCCTCTCCCCTGCTCTGTGCCAGCAGCCTACATGGCGTGAGGAGCCTGACTGATGAACAGCCCCCGGAAATCATTGCTGTGTTTCCTGTAAGATGTTGTAGGAGAATGCAAACCCACTCTGGGAAAAAAATCCTCCCAGATCTCACGACCGGAAATAACTTCTCAGCTTCTTCTAGGCAGTGAGAATTTTTTTTTGCACCTAATGTAGACATTAGTCATATAACTTAGAGTTTTTCAACTTGATTTTAAGAAAGGTATGAGATGATTTTAAGTTAAATAAGCTTAACCAGGAAAAATGTTCCCTTTACGTTTTTCTTTCAACGTTACTAATGTGTTCAAGAGAGCACTTGTGTTTGGTAGTGATACGACTATCATTTCTTTATTTCCCTTTATATCAAAGGAGGAGGGAGTCTGAGGCACAGAGCTTTGGAAGGCAATAATTAGTATCTAGTGAGATTTTAGTAACTTAGCTCATTTTATATTAATTATTTTTGTAATTACCTGCTATCCGTAGCCAACTATACTGGCTTTCCATTTGCAGGTGATATAAAGTTTCTTTTTAGAGTAAGTTTATGTCAGCAAAAGTTTGAGTTCATTAAAAAATGTTCCATAAGTATTAGTACAGTTGGTAGGGCACCAAACAAGGAAACGAAAATCATGAAGGTGTTTCGAGGAATCCTGACTTCAGTTTCTACTCTGCCTAGGGTGCTGGAAAGACCGGAGTTTAATTCGTGGGTCGCTGATCTCAAGACTGCAGGTCCCTGACCCATGAATTTCACCTTCTAAGTCTCATTCGTGGCTTAATCTTCCGTCTCCTCGCGCCCTTTCCCCTCTGCCCTCTTATCTTGCTACCTATATCCTTTCAGGAAAAAAACAATAGTGGTGGAGGGCAAGAGACGCCATTATAAAGAACAATCTCTTTTAGTAACACCGTTTCCAAAAAGTGAACGTGACCAGGGCTACCCAGTCCCTGAGTGGGGTGCTGTCAGGGAGCCCCGCGCCTCTGACTTCCTCTGGTCTGTGGGAAACTTCAATCCTACAAGCCGGGCAAGAACCGCGTCTCTAAACTGCTTGCGCAGCGGATTCCCCGGTTCTGCTGCGTCCCAGCTCGGAGGCACCACGGAGCGTCTTCCTGGGAAACGTGTGAGCGAATTCAAGCACAGCGGTGGGACAGCAAGGAGTAGCTGCAGGAGATGGATGCGCTCGCCTCCTGCGGCCGTGCAGCACCTTGACCTTCCAGCCCCTCAGACTGGGGAAGTTCTTGTGGAACCCCTGGAGGCGCGGGGGTGGGGACCGCGGACGGGGCTGGAGACTGCCCCCCAGGATTGGGAGGGGGACGGGGAGCGCTGGAGAATAACGCCCAGGAGCAGGGGCGGCGCAGCCCCAGACTCCCTGGCAAGCGCGGCGGTCTAGAGCCGCGGGACTGGGATTCTCCCCTCTTCCAGGAGTTCTCAGGAAGTTTGGGGGGAGGGGCGAGCCACGCTCTCCAGTTCCACGGGCGTCGGGCGGTGAGAAGGGACCCCAGCGACAGCGGTCTCGGCGTTGTGACGTGGGCTCCGCGGGCAGAGCGCTCGGGCCGGCATGGGGGTCCTGGTCCTCCTCAACGCGCTGGCCACCCGGCTGCTGTTCGTGCTGCACTCGCTGGTGGGGGTCTGGCGAGTGACCGAGGTGAAAAAGGAACCGCGATACTGGCTGCTGGCACTGCTCAACCTCTTGCTGTTCCTGGAGACGGCGCTCACCCTCAAGTTCAGGCGCGGCAGAGGCTACAAATGGTGAGGGCGCCCCGGGAAAGGGAGGGCGCACGGGGCCCTCGGGATTGTCCCCCATGGCACCTGCGGGCAGCCCTAGAGCTCGGCTCTCCGCAGCCCGCCGATTGTTTGCTCGAATTCGGACCCCCTTTGTCCTCGCTGGGAGCTGGGCAGGCGCGCGAGATGCTTGCGCGTCTCTTGGGGACGCGAAGGTACCCTGAGGTTCCAGGGCAACACTGGGAAGGCTCGAGCCTGAGCGCAGCCAAGCGTCACCCGGTCCCAGGTTTGGAAACTTGGAAAGTGAGGAATTTTTTTTTTTTTTTTTTTTAAGGGAAGCTCTTGTTTTGCAGAAAGTGCCCCCAAAGAGAGGAGTCGTGGGACAGGATGGTGCTGTATGCTCGGCTTTCTTTTCAATTCTGGGTGTGTGGGTGTGCGCGGGTTATTCTGCGTGGTGGAAGCGTGGGAATGCACTTCCCTGGGCGTCAGCGACCTTTGCATGAGCTGTGCGCAGTGGGCACCATTCAAGGCAAGGAGCCCCTCGCAGTGCAGTCTGCTGTTTCAGTAGTTTCCCTTCCTTCCCGTCCCTGGCGTCTAGAGCTCTCTGGCAAGGCACTAGCTTCAGGTGTCCGGGTTTGGTGGATTTGGAGCTTGGCTAATGGTCAGCCTATCTTTCCAGGGACGGGTTGAGACATTGGTTGAGGGACCAGCAGGTAGTGGTTCGGTCTTAACCTCAACGTGGAAGAACTACAGGCTCTGCGTGGTGCTTTATTTCCTCCCTGGACTTGAATGGCAATAGAAGAATTGAGAAAAAGATTCTCTTGCCGTTTACAAAGAACCTCCCCCCCACTTCTCCGTCCACTCCCTGTTCATTTTCATCCCAAACTTTTCCAAGTTAGGCCTCTTCCTGTACTCATTTTTAAAAACGGTAAGACTGTGTTTTCATTTAGGTCAGTAGTTTAAAAACTATCTAATGCTGTGAGAAAGAAGAAAATAGTATTAGCTACTTAAGAATTACATGCACTATGGCATGATGGTTAGCCATCATGACCAGGAAAACAAAACAAAACAAGACCCTGTACAGTTTTGCATATTAAACTAAGTAAGGCTGTGTGTATTTCATGATAGTCCATGAAAGAAAATGTGTTGCCTTTGAAGATAATGTGTATCTTGCTTGAATTTTCCACTGTTGAAAAAGTTCTGAAATTATCAATGCTCAGATTGTTCAAGAACAATTCTAATTTAATACAGTGAGGACTGGAATGTTACCACCTCCCTCCCTCCCTCCTCATGTTCCTCCTCCTGAGCAGTTTATTAAGCTTGAGACATTTGTGGTACTTTCCAGTGTGCCTTTTGGACATGTAAAAGAAGAATGGTGTCAGCTTCCAAGTAAGCCTCTTAGTTAAAGAAACAAAAGGGGAGAAAAGCGTTTGTCCCCCCAGCAGGTTGTATAACATTGATTTAGTTCTTCTGAGTAGCTTTTAATACTCTAGGGCAGAAATATCTTCTGTAACAGGATGCCATCTGAGACTGAACAACGTTCCATGTAAAGTAGTCCTATCACCAACCATTAGAGCTTTTGGGAGAACTGTCAACCTTAGAAGAGGGGCCAGCTCAGCAGGACCTGAAATAATCCCTCTCCCCCTCCAAGAGTAGACCAGAGGCCTCAGTTTGTCCAAATCCACTCCAGTTGTGTAGAAATACTGCAGCTGATAGAACTTCACCTTCATGTCTCCATCATCACTGACTGCTGATTCAAACTGACATGTAACTTACAACCAAAAGAGGAAAAATTTTGTGGGAAAAAATGGGTCATGATCAATGAGTTGGGTTAAACAGAGAACTGGGGATATACTAGTGTTTAGAATGTGTGCCTCAAAAATCACAGATAACAGAGTAAAATCTGGGCTTTCCTACTTACTTGCCGTGACACCTTAAGCAAGTTATACAGTGTCTCTGAGCCTCAGTTTCTCATCTACAGATTACTTACTTCTTAGGTGCTTGGAGAATTCTATGAAATAATATAGGCTGATGGTCAATGAATAAAAAAGGAACAGTCTTTTCTAGGTACTAAGGTTTTTCGTTGTTTTTCTTATTAAAAAAATATTCTTGTACCAACTAGACACATTTAATGTCTGTATAAGTGAAACAACTTTACTTGAGAGACTAGCCAATAAACTATTGGTTCAGAACAAAAGAGTAAAAAAAAAAAAAAATCTGGCCTTTATCAGAAGAATAGACCCTTGATGTATATAACATTACACCACTAATTTAGGAAAAGAATCTTGCTGGCTCAATATCTAGACTAATATTTGAAATTAAGCAAAGAAAAAAAGTCGATAGACTTGGATTATAAAATTTCAGGAATAAATGAATCTTTGTAAATGGTCTAAATGGAAATGTGACTAGTAATTCTTTGTTCTATTGATATTACCAGATGCAACTCAGTTTGCAAATGTGGTCATTTGTAGGGTGAACAAAGCCTACACAATATCCTGTTGTAAGTTTGAGAAAAAAAATCAGAAGATGAACTGCTAAAAAATATAGGAAATGATCTTTGAAATAACATGGTGAAAAGGGCTTGATTTGGGGTGGATTTCATTTTTAGCTTGAAGTTTTCTGAGTAGAGCAAAGCATAATTTTTTGTTGTTTTTGAGTGTTGAGAAAAATTTCCATCAGGAAATCTAAGCTGATGGAATCAAACAGAGATAAAGTAAATGTGGCAACATCTCTACATCTATATAGGAAAATATTAACATATATAGATCTAAGTGTTGATCTGTATAAGTACTGATAAATATATAAATCTTTGACCCATTGGTCTTACATTTTGGAATCTACCTTAGAAAACCAAAAGTACCTATATGTAAAGACATGAACAAAAACAATTATTTCCATCTTTTGGTGGAAAATAAAGCTGAAAACAAGTTGATTATCCATCAGAAGAACAGTTGAAAATTGTGACATAATCATACTATATAATATTTTGCTGGTATTAAAAAAAATTTTTTTTAAATGAGCTAGATTTTAATCATTGGCTTACAGAGATACCCATGATATATTGTCAGGAGACTAAAGTTGCAGAGTTCTGTATATTGTGATCCATTTTTTAAAGATTAACTTGTAACAGAATTGCCCTTTGTATCAATCGAAAACACAAGTAGAAGAAGCCATCACCCTCCCATACTGAAAATAAATAAATAAATAAATAAATAAATAAATAAATAAATAAATAAATAAATAAATAAATAAATAAATAAATAAATAAATAAATAAATAAATAAATAAATAAATAAATAAATAAATAAATAAATAAATAAATAAATAAATAAATAAATAAATAAATAAATAAATAGAATGGAACAGAGTAGAATAACACCTAAATGGTGGATTAAAATATGGTCATTTATGGGGTTTAAAAAAATCTCTTTTCCTTGAACATCAGAACCGTGAACCTCCTTTGGACTACTCTGGGCTCCTTTGAATACTGTTCTTTTTACTAAAATTTATGCCTGAAGCCAAACAAATCAAATCTACAGAAATCATGGAACAATAAACAGAGCTATATAGGAAAATATGAACTAAATTCTTTGAAATGTAGCAAACATATTACACTTATCCAAAGAATGTTTCTTTAGCTATCCCTTGGAAAGGAAAAATGGAATTAGAGTTGCTGAGCTCAGCTGTCCAGGGACATGCAACATTACATCAACTCTACTAACTTGCCAGATGGAAAAGTTAAATTTGTTGGAATCCTATAGGATAGAGAGGGTGAGCCAATGACACATCTCTTAAGTTTAATAAATATATCCTAGTGGAATTTTCTCTTTTTTCACCTACTATTTATTTATTTCACCTGCATATCCCAATCACATTTCTGTAAGATGGAAATTAATATCACTTAGCTTAATTTTTTCTTGATTTTATTTTCTATTGTCTGGGTGGCAATCCAATAGATGTGAATTACCATTTAGGTAAAGTCAAATAGAAGACAGTATTTTAGTTGCTTTCCAGCCAACAGTGATAAAATATTCCTCAGGGGATAGAAAAGTTACCAAGATTGTGACAAGTTTGAAGCCTGTTCACATGAAAGCAGGTGGTATCTGAGAATAAGTAGAACTCTAAGTTGAATTTACTGGCAAAAGTACAAAATTTTAAGCACTATCTCTTTTTAAACATTTTTAAGAATATAAGGAAATAAAATTTTTGAATTAATAGATAATAACTCACCGATTTAGTCACCTTTCTTTGTTATCTCTCTTTGTCTTTTACTTTATAAATTTCAGCAAACTGCAAATTGCTTAATAAGTAAGCATGACACTGTGCTAGACACTGTGTGACCAGGCTCAAATGTGTGGGACTAAGAATAATTATGAATATTCAGAATTTACTATGTCCCAGGCTTTTTCAGTTATCCCATTTGATCCTGACAACAACTGCAATTATTTTGTTTCTTCTGTCTTCTCCCATTTTTAGATGAGGAAACTGAGGCACAGAGCTACTAAATCATTTCACCCAAGATCACTTAGCTGACAACTGGGAAAGAAAGAAGTGAAGGCTCCAGTCTCTCACTCTGGCCCATTGCACTCTTTAACAATTTAGAGGTGAAAAGATGGGATGCAGAGTACTGGGTAAGGGACAGGGAACTTTACAGCGCTTGAGTTATAGCAGGAAGAATGGGGAAGATCTACATCTGGAATGTGGGATGCAAAGGCCACATAGGTAAGGGACATCCTGAGTGAGTAGGTGAGTATAGGGAATCTTGAGCAGATTTCTCTGGAGGAAGCACAGAGCCTTATCAGTCTTTATTCAACAACGATGTATGGAATATCGACTGTGTGTTAGGCATTGTTCAAGTACTGAGAATATGGAACCGGTTAAAAGAGGCAAAATTCTGCCCTCTACAAATTCACATTTTAATTAAGGGGCTCAGAAAATAAACAAAGATGTGAGTAATTAATAAACAAATAAACTCATAGGTAACAATAAGCAAGTAGACAATTGAGTGATTTGTCTAAATGATGGGG